ACACACACACACACACACACACACACACACACACACACACACACACATATATATATATATATATATATATATAATTATTTATATATAATATACGTCTGCATGTAAGTTAGTAAGTGTACATACACATTACCGTATACTAGTGTAGCATGGACGAACGGTGTCACAAATTAAAGTGTATTATATTTCAACATAAGCAGAAAAAATAAAAGTTTTTCGTCGTTCCACCACGTTGATTTGCGTTGCGCAAATCATGTCCGTGATATTAATTTCCATTATTATACCATCAATGTATATATTTAAAATTACTAATAATTATTACTGAATAAGAGGTAATATAATATTGGCAATGTGTTTATCACCGTTTTAGTAAAATATAAAACAAAATGAGCGAGTTAATAGACCTTTGACAAACTGCCACGCTCCTGTTACACGGAAATTTAATTAAAACTTTTGGGTTTTCGAAAATTAAACAACACGTTTACTCTACTTGACATGCTGCGGCGACTCAAGGAAGTGTAAATTAATTATCGCCCCATCGATTGTTGACAATAATGCTCTCTAGTTATGTCCGCCTTTTTTTGTATAGACATACACGTAAACACACTAGTACAATAACTCACAACGACGGCGGACGGTTTAAGGGACGAAAAAACAAAAAAAAACTTATATAATAATCGAGAAAACGGTGATTTTTGTCGACTAGATTATGTGTGGGTGAGTGTAGACTGTACACGTCGGAGAGACATAAAAACAACCCTCACCAAGGACGGATGTTAGAGTAAAACATTTAAAAGGGAAGTGCAGTTAGAGGACGCATTATGAGTCTCTTTGTCCAGAGAATAATGCCTTCTACGCGATGGTATATGTGTATACTATAGTTATATATAAGAAGTATAATCACCCATTTTCAAAAACCATTAAAGTTAAAAATACTAATAAATTTAACCATAATTAAATTCAGTTTTGTATATTCCACATAGATATTTTTGATGGCCCCCGAATTTTGTGCAAGTGTATATTTTAATTGTTTTATCTCAGTCACATGTACAATAATAACGCTGCACATATACATCATATACGTCTATATACACTCACGCATTACACGCAAACCTTTTTTAATAGTATAATAACTAATAATAATTATATACGACAAGTATATTTCAAACAGAGCTCAGTAATGTTATCCGATTAAAATTAATATGCATATGCATTTACTTAAGGTTTTTAACTAGTACTTGGAGAAATAAATAATAAGTATAATTAAACATGACAACTCTCATTGAATGTTTTATGAACGTAGGGGACGACTGGGACGTTGGGTTTACTTAAGTTGTACTCCTCAAATGCCAGAACGGCGAATCGGTTTGGTGAAACAAACTTATTTGATTTCTTATCATTTGGATGCGGTGATAATAACGAAGATGACAGATTCCTTTTGGTGGATTTGGGCGTACACGGAGTCGTTAGGCCCGAATTCTGACCGTTTTTGTTGTACATAGTACCGTTATAGGTAAAGGAACAATGTGTTAATGAACAAGATAAAAATAATTTAACGAGCGTGCTCAGAGATAACGGAGAGAATGAACCATCGGCGCAATGTGCGTGTGTTTGTGTTTAACGTAACAACCGGACTGAAAGTATATATTAATATAACAAATAGTTGTACTACGAAGTACTTTAAAAACATTGTGATATTGCATGATTGGAAAAAAAAACAATAAAACGAAATATTGTCTAAATAGTTTACAGTAAAAATTATCGCATCACTTTTTAACACTGTTTAATAGAACTCGAAGACGGAATTGAGAAGAAAAAAAATTATTCGTTTGTGCAAGGCGTTGAAATAATTTCTAATATTAAAGATATATGTATTATATTTATTATTATGATCGGCGTACGCGAAAAGTGAATAGAAAAGTAACTGATGACAAATGTATTGTTACAAGTTTCGCTTTCTGTCCAGAACAGTTCGCGAGTTCGTATTTATGAGAAAAATGTTTTTTATATATACCGCATCGTCATAAAATAAAATTTGACTATTATTGCGTCATGCAAACGACGTAAATGCGACGGTGGACTTATTTTATAGTGTATATTAAAGTTTTTTTACTATAATTTCCGTACGGTTTTGCAGTTCTACTTGTTTAAAAATTATCGAAAGCTATAATCTTTTTATCGTCGACGAAAAACAATTTACATATAAATATACGACGTGTCGTTTTTCTATCTTTTCCCGTACGATTGCGCCAACCCCTGTTCCTGGTCAATTATATTTCATTGGTATTCATTAAACGTTTTAGATTCGGAAACGTATCCGTTCTATTCGCGACGAAAAATCTATTTCATAATCATATTATAGCTGCTTTTCTTCGACGATAAACAATTCTTAAAGCTCCGTTGGTTTTTTGGTTCATGCCATTTGTGATGTACTCGATTTACGTACACACAAACTCTCACGCATACAAACTCGCACGTACACTCGCACACATACAATCGGCAGCGTGTGAAATCGGATAATTGTGAAATTATTTTTCGCAGCGTTGTTTTTTTCAAATTATTTTTCTTTATTTTCACCAAAAATAAAGAAAAAATAATTTCTCATTCTAGTCTATTCGGAAAAGCAAGAGAACCAAAATCAAAATCTGTGCAACAATATTATTGTCACAAATGTTTTTATTATTTCTTTATCGCCGAGTGTGTGTTTGTGATACACGCGCAAGTGTATACTATACATATAATAGGATAAATGTATAGTTGAAGATGAACAAAAACCTAAGAGAATATTGCACGGCATACCGTTTAATGTCTGAGTACGCTTTTTTCTTATTTATTTTTTTTATTATTATTATTCTTTTATATACACACGCATTCGGTGTCATTATGACTATGTATGTGCGTGCGCGTATATTACGACGGTGTTTATGTGTGCTTGGTTGTTTTATTTTATTTTATTTTTTTC